AAAAGATTTGTCAACTTAAATCCGAGGGGGTCTAGGATTGAAAAACTTGAAACTTTGGAACAAAGCTTGCAAAATCAAACTTATCAAGACATCCTAGCAGGAGGGATCGTTATGGGTTGCCTGGTCAAAAGTAACGTATTAAAGGAGAAAGATTTTGGCATATTGAAGAAACCCCAATTTCAACTGGAACTTCAATAGGATTTTAAAGCTTCGGTCCGAAGCTTCTCTGCTCACGAATCATACTATCACCATCAAACATATTTGGAAATTAGATTGAATGGAGACAAAGTAAAATTGCATCCTTTGATTTGGTACCCTTATCATATTCCGAAACATAGTATTATAACATGGATAGCTATTCTTGATCGACTCCCGACCCGGGATTGACTTTTGCGGATGGATTACCACTTGGAGAATTGTGCTTTGCAACGGAATAATGGAAACTCAGTCCCTATTCGTTGATTGTCCATTGGCTGCTAATTTATATGACTCAATATTGCTTCATAATGAGTTAAAGAAATCATTTTCAACATGAGAAGACATGATCACATGGGCAAGCAATAACTGGAAAGGCAAATCTCTTCTCTCAACAATTTTAAAGATTGCTTGGTGTGCCAAAATCTATGTACTATGGGAGGAACGTAATAGACAATTTTCCGAGGATGTACAAGGACTGTGACGACCTTTTTGCTTGTATCAAAGTTTGTTTCTACCAAACTGAGGGTGGTTAATATTAATATGTCTGATAGTATCAATATCTTTCTATGTAATTCTTGGGGTAATGATTAATCGATCTTTTGTCTTGTAAGTATGATGTACATATATTTTTGTGATCGTTATTTTTGTAGCAGTTCTGATTCGTCGGGTAATAAAATTGAATTATCCAAAAAATACGAAGGGTTTAAATATTTTATGAAGAAAATATAGTAATAAATATTATTTCAGCATATTATATAATAATAATAATATAATATAGAATTTTCAATTTTTTTGATAGAATATTAGGGTCTGTTATTTCACGTAAAATGTTTTCTGGAAAATATTTTCAGTGTTTGATTGGAGGAAAAATGGTTGGTCGTAAAACATTTTCCTGGTCAACATAATTTCCTTTATGTTTTCTAGAAATGACTTACCGTCCGAACTTTTCACTTCAAAAATAAATACTCATTTTAATATCATTTTAATCAAAATATTAATTATTAAAATATTTATAAATATTTATTAATATTATAATAATATATTATATTTTTATATTATAATAAATAATCAATTATTATAATAATATAAGATTATATTTTATTTTAATAATATAATAAATATTAAAAATGTATATTATTTATTAATTTATAGAATAATATTATTAAATTGTTAATATTATTATACATTTAATATGAATATAATAATCTAATAATATTTAATAAATATATTAAATAAACTAATTAATATTTTTTAAATATTTATTAGTTTACTAAATAATTAATATATTTTATAATATTTTTATTTCAATAAAATATACCAATATTAATATTTTTATTAATAAAATTATAAAAAAAATATTATAATAATAAATAAATTATTTAATCTTTTAAAAATAATAATATAAGTTTTATGATAAATAATATTATTTATTGTATTTAATATTTGTAATAAATAATTTTTAAAAAAATTATCAACTAGCGGAAAAATGATTTAAACAACATCTTCCAAACATCGTAAAACATTTTCCAGAAAATATTTTTTTAGAAAATAATTTATTTTACGAAAAATATTTTCGGAAAACGTTTTCAGTGAAACAAGCAATTCGTCGTCATATAATCAAATATATATTGTTTGATATTTGGTATTTGTTTACTTATGACAATTTCTTACATCTTTCAAGGTATAAAAGATAAAATTTTAAAGATTTAAGGACTATTTTTCTCTTTAAAAAATTTAATTTATTATTTTCGATTTTATGTATTTTTACATTAATTTACTTTTAGAAATCGTTTAATTACATCATTATGAACTCTGAACATTAACTTAAAATTCTAAATCTTAAACTCGAATATTAAACTTGAACTCTAAATTCTAACTTAAAACCTCAAATAATAATAAATATTTTAAATATTAATACAATATTTTAAGAATACAACATCATGCCTATTGAGAATCTATCACTTGAATGTAAGATTTCATGTTAGAGGATGAATTTATACAAATTTTTAAAATTAAAAAATATATAATTTTAAAGAGGATAAACAAAATTTAATAAAAATATAAAATTTTGAAAATTTTAAGGATTGCCCTAGATCCTACTTGGCTAGTGGTAAAATATTGCATATTTATCTATTTTTTTAAGTTAAGTGATTATATAAGTAATATCTGTTGTAAATATATTCTTAATCATTTGATAATAACAATCATCTTATTACAGTCATGGTGCACGAACATATGACTTCTACGAATAACGACAATTCCTTTAATCACTAAGATAAATTGATTTGTGATTTTCTAGTCATTTGGAAGAGTTAAAAATCACCTTTATAAATAAACAATGATATTATCTTCTATTATTATACAAATATAATTTTGTAATAATATTAGACAATAATACAAGTCTATTTTGAAATACAATACATATAAACATAAAAAGTATATATTATTTAAAATAATTACTATGAAACAAGTACTAGTTTGGAAATTTTAGTAAAGGAAAATGGAGTTGGAGTCAAGTTGGCTACGTTAAGTTGTGACGACGCGTGTTCGAGGAGTCTATCTAGTGGGCCAGGGAAATCCAGGAGTCACCAATAAAAAAGTAACACGTGGGAGAGAGGCTTAGCCGAAAGAGGGAGGATCGTAATTGGGTTGGAAATTAGTGGGAGGGGAGGAGAGTTGTCATTTTCAATTGGAAAGGAGGGGCCCATGCCCATTGGAGAGTTGTAGTTGTAGAGAAGAGAGCTTTTGCGGTGGATTCTACCGTCCTTTGGTATATGTTAAGGAAATATCTTAGTTTTATTATATTATTTAATAAAATAGATAAAAATTTATTTAAATTATTATTTTTATTTAAAATATTAATATTTTTTTAATAATTTTGATAAAGTATTCAATAATAATAATGATAGAAATATTAATGTTCTCAGTAATTTTTTATCAGTTTATTAAAAAATAATAACAAATCGTTAGCGCATTTATTTCGTATATTAAGGATGTCGCATATGAGACTTCTATGCTTTTGACGGGTTATGGTTCGTAAAAGTAAATAATGGGTTTAAAATTAGAGGTGGGTATGAGACCGATGTCGATGGGTTTTTTTTAAAAAAATATATAGGGTTTGATCGGTTTTTTTATGTTATGTCCAGGTAAGGTTGAGTTTGGGTTTAAGGTGAAAATATTCAACTTACTTCGAAAAAAATATAATTTTACCTTATATATTGAGGGATAATTAAATAACACCTTTCATATATTATTTTCAATTAAATCTCTATTTTTATGAATAAAAATATTTTTTAATAAACATATTTTTCGAATTAGGTCAGATTTGATTCGAATTTATCTTAAAAGTCGGGTCGAATTCAGGCGGGTGGAGGATGTAAATTTTCGGGTTGGGTTGATCGAAACTCGACCAAAACCGACATGTGTCCATCCCTAGTTTAAATCTTTTAAAGGACGTGTACTACTTTATAAATTAAAAAATAGTTCAAATATTTATTTTTGTAAAATTGAGCCTATATAAAAAATTTAGTTTGAAGATTTTTAGTTTTTTTTTTCTATTTTTGTTTATTTTTGTAATTAATTGTTAACCCAAAAGCTATAAAAATAAGGTAAATAAATTTTAATTCTTTATGTTTAGAATTTTTTTTATTAAATTAGCATCTAAAAAAGTAAAAATAGATATTAAAAACTGTATTATTCCATAATTATTGTTACATATGTTTAACAATTAAAGTCAAACTTAATAAAAAAGACATAAATATATGAGATTCATTTTTTTCCTCTTAAAATAGCTATCACAGCAACAATTAATCATAAAATTAGAAGTTAGATAAACAAGATTTTTAAATTAAAAATAAAATAGGGACTTAATATTACAATAAATAAAACAAGGATGAATTTTAAAATTTGAAATAGTGCAGGACCCGAGTAACATTTAACGTGATACTATGAACGTAAATGCGATTCGAAGTTGGGGGTTCACCGGTCACCGACCCATCCACCTTCCATCCATCATCATTTAGTCTCATTTTTTTCATCTTTTTTGTCTGCTCTCCAAATCCGTGTAATCGCGTCTACTAAAAGTCTTTTTCATTGTTTGAAAACATGTAAATTTAATTTTAACATTGAAATATCAAATTAAAATATATAGAAATTTATAACAACTCTTTTAATTATGATTATAAAATTAAATATTTTTGTCAGAATAATCGAATCTAATCAATTAATAATATTACTGAAACCAACATGTAATACTTGGGAAATTTGAACAGATTAAAGTAATTTAATATTTGTATCTCAGTTGGTCTGATAGAATGTCACTGTTTGATGATGATAGGATATGAAATTCTTGTGAGTTTCCCGTTCCGACGGGCCATGGCCTTGCACTTGTATTTTAGTTGTTCAAATCCAAGGTAGCTGTCATTCGTTATACATATCATACCGTAATGATTTAGACAAAAAACTCATGTCCTAATGATTTTTTCGTAATGATGTCTAACGATAATCTTAAACTTCAAACAGATTATTATTTCGCATTTCAGTAATAAACCTCACGACCAGAACAGTCCAGTCCAATGAATGACCCAATTAAAAGAATGCCGGATATGGAAGCCCATGACGAAACCAATATTAAAGGCTTCACTTGAGTTGAGGTACGATTGAAGGGGGAAATGAATTCAGATATCTAATTGAATAAAAACAAATTATAAGTACCAAATTAAACTAAGAAGTGGAGATACGATTTTAAGCCAAAAGCCAGTCGATGTGCCTAATTGCACAACCTTTCAAGAACAACACCTTCTATTTCCCGAACTCCGAACCGAGTTTTAAACACCATCTATTATCAATTCATATTGTACGATCTCAAGATAAGAAAATGAAGGTCACATGCCATTACTTAACCACCTCCAGATTCGAGCGTATTACTTAACCTGCATACATCTTATCATATCATATGAAACCTCAATAAAACATCAGCAATAAGCATACCAGAAAAGGTCACAAGTGCTGCTGTGCCTATACATGACATCATGAGGAAGTTTGTTCTTATGTCTCATTATATTTAATCCTGTGAATGATATGCGTTCGACGCCTAATTTGATTAAACATCTATGACAGTTATTGTTACGTTGCTTTCAAATTTCCCCGAGTTTCCCTAGTTTTTTTCTTTCCTGTGAAATGTTTGGCTTAACAGAACCTTACTTACTGGTCCATGCCTCGAAAAGTCCTTCACCATTTACTGCACAAGTTTTAAATATTGCCCACTGACGACTTTTTAATTTGTGCAACTCCAAAGCATCGGTCACAGCAGCAGCATCAAGTGCACAGGTAGATCCTGTTCGTTAAAACAGAGTGTTTACAATCTGAAAGATCAAGATTTTGAAAACCTTGCGCTATCCACAGTGATAAACATTGTAATGACAAACGTTTCCAGCTTTGAGTGGTAGAGCATGGGGCAATTATATATAGTGTCACCTGCTTGTTTGAAAAAATTAAACTATTGCACCTTTAAGCTCATCCTCCTGCTCAACAGTACAACGATAGCGTCAGCATCTACCATATGGCAGTAAAGGAGTTAAGGAGTGAGGGAGATATGACTAGCCAGTCTAGCCCAAGAATACCTCTAAAATGGCATGAAATTTCTAGCCACAAGAATACCTCTAAAATGGCATGAAATTCTTCTTTGGCTATTCTTATTCTGTCAGTGTCAATTGAATCAACAACATAATTATTGCTTGTGTATTTGGGAATAGCATCTCCAATATGGCCTGCAGCACATATAAAGGAAAAGTGGTAGACGAGCATTGAGGGTGTTGAAGTCAATCGGTGAGTTCATTGCAAAACAAAGAGCAAATTTTCCAATAAAATCACTAAATGATCCACAACGAAAGGAACTGGAAATGAAAGATCCAAAAAAGCAGAAAACAGAACATCCACACAAGGAAAAGAGAAAAGATGAATCTTCTTTTCATAGCTTCATTGTTTCAGGTAAGCAGCACAAAAAACCACAATTACCCGCATTTCATAATAAAGTAAAAAAAAAGTAAAGTAATCTTAAGGCTACTTAACTAATCACTAGAAAAAACTTATCTAAACAAAATGTATCGGATGTCTTTTCAAGAAAACAAAGCTTGAAAGCAGTTACGTGAAGCTTCTGGCCACCTATTATATCAGAAAGTACATTTATCAACCGACAATTGGTTAAACTGAAACGCAAATAGTTGGAAAGACTTGGAGAAATTACATAAAAATAGGCACATAAGAAAGGTGATAAATGAATGTTAGAACTTTTTAAAGCTGAAAAAGCGATAAGAGAAACAGAGCTACAGTCGAAACTCAACACTGAAATACTTGTAAATTCATCAAGCTAGAAACATGAAGCCACAAAACTTTCTTCTGCAATAATCTTATATTATTCAAAATGTAACTAAATTTCCCAAAGGCTTTGTAGCAAATGGCAATGCAAGCAGGCTGTGCAGGCCAACCATATAACTACGGGATCAAAATGAAATTCATGGTTCAATTGTAAGTAATAAATAAACCAAATTTCAAAGTTTGAATAAATCAAATTGAACTTCCAGTTAAGACAGCTTGACTGAAGCTTGCATACCAATTAGTACAGCTACTAATATACTACAAAAAATTATCAGTTCCAGATCATGCTTCTAATTATTAACGTTAACTACCTAAATCCCATACTTGAAACTTGATGTTGTTGTATTGACAGTTTCTGCATTAAACCCAATCGCTGCCAGAAAAAAAAAAACCGATTAAAACCCAAAATAAGAACAACAAGGAATTGAAAGAGAGGAGGCAAAGGCAAACCCACTTGGAATTGTAGAGACTACTTCACCCATCTGAAGCCGATCTGTCGGAAGATACCAAAATAATACAAATTACACCAATAAACAGCAACCCACTATCACCAAATAAAAGGGAAAACAAATCAAAAAGCGATATGTATTTTAGAACAGATCGAAATGTTACAGAGAATGGTAGTTTTGCCGGCATTGTCAAGGCCGAGTACGAGGATCGAGCTTCTCTGTTCCCGAAAAGAGAGGAGAACATCCGAGTAAGGCAATCCCATTTCCCCCCAATTGATTCCTTTAGCATTACTGCCTCTAATCACCACTATTAGTGTGCAGTGAGTAGCTGTTCCCTATATTTGTTTTGGTCATCAACTTGGTATCAGATGTAATTTTGTACCTATTTCCTAATACAATTTTTCTGTTTCAGTTATGTATCTCATTCAAATTGATTCAAGTTAATTCAAATAAATTATTTATTGTCAATATTAATTAGAATTAAAAAATAAATTTCAAATCGTTTTAAATCAATAAATTAAATTAATGTATAATTAGATCAAAAGTAAATTTGAGTATCAAATAAATTTTAAAAAAATCATGTACCAATTATGTATATAAGATTGAATTTAAAAATCAATTTTTAAAGATACATGACATCAATTGATTGATTAAAATATCATATTAATAAAAAATTAATTTTATTAAAATTTTAAATTTAAACAATTTTACGGGGCTAAATATAAAAAAAAAATTAAAACTAACTAAAAATTTTAGATTATTTTTTATTAATTTAAAGTAAATACAAAGTAATATTATTAGCGATGGAACCCATCTCATAAAATACTTTAGACTAAATTTAAAAGATAAAATATGAATTAACTCATAAAAGAATTCAGTACCAGGCCTTCAAATGCGTCGACCGACAAAATGAACCTAACTACACGAAAACATGAATGCCTCAGCTATTGTGCCCATCTAAGGGCCGAATAGGAGAAATAATAGTGGTACACCCCGAGCCCAAGGGTCTATTATGGACAACCGAGCTATGGTAGATCCATTCAATTTTATTAATCACTCCTCTCTTTTAGGGTAATTCAAAATTAATTAATGTTTATTAAATTGTCGTTGTAATTCATAACGAATTAGATGATATCATTTATTAAATATTTGAATTTTTTTATTTATCTTTAATAAATTTGTAAATTATCGCTTGTATGCAGGGATGGACTTAGGCAGGAGTAGGAGTGGGTGGTCGTTCCCTTAAAAAATATAAAATTATTATATATTTTAAGTTTTTTCTATGTATTTTCTATTGAAAATTTATTTTTACATCCTAGAATTTTATTCGAAAAATTTTATAAGTTCAAGTTCATTCTCTCAAAACAAAATCTTATATTCGTCCCTACTCGTGTGCATTGATGATGTACCAATATAAATTCAATTCAAGAAGATTTCATTATTCAACGATGTTTTAATCATTTGAAGAAAAAATTAAAAAAAGAGAATGAATTAAAAATCATACTTAAGAAAGAATAATCTTCCATTTCAGACAACCCTAATCTAGTGTCTATATCTGGAGTCCAACAACGTCCATGACAAATTATCGAAGTCGGTGACGTTCTCATCATTTATGAAGCTCGCGTCTCTCTGTTCCAAGTAACAGCTAGATTCCGCGAGACTTGAACATCGCACATTGCACTAATCGGGCGCATACTGAAATATCCCAACTTTGGAAATTGCGAAATACTAAAATATTGAGTTAATTTGAACGACACAAATGGTGGAGTCGAGTCACCGCGCAGTCGGGACACGGGCAGGGCACCATCCCCAGCCGCTTAATTACTTGTCCCCGCACTTGTCTCCTGCTTGCTACAGAAAACTGCTTGCAATGCAACTGCATACTTTGTGAATCAACGTCCCTCTGCCTCTTCGTCTTTCAATTTTCTTTTAACAACACTAAAACTATAACTCTGGAGGAATATGTGCTTTTGATTTCGATATATTTGTCTTTCCTTGATTCCTCTATTTATAATTCATAAAAAAAGGATCATTATTCCCATCATATTTTTATATCATATCTCACTTCTTTTTTCCTCTTGTTTCTCAGCCGATTTGTGCTTGGCAAATACACCACCAGGGACTTTGAGTAGTTGAAGTTGCTTTGTTTTATGGAATTTGAATGTGATTTGAGAAGAGAACTCGATTTTTCTCATCAAAATTTACATTTTCCGACTATCAAAATCGATCAAAACAAAAAGTGGAAGAAGAAAGAAGGGAAAAAATCAAAAACAGTGAAAAACCTCTCACTATCTCCAAAGAGAAACAAAACAAAAAAGAAAAAAGAAGAGAAACTGAGAGGTAAGAGCTAAGCTCACTGGTTTAATTTTGGTCTGGGGTTGGTTGGCTGGCATGGTTCTCGTGGTTTTCCGAGTTCTCTGTTATAGTTGACAATCGTTCTTCATCGTCCCTGCCCATCTCTTCTTTCACTTTCTCACCATTAGCAGGTTTCTCTGGTCCTTCATTTTCCTCGGGTTTACCATATTTATCACCGAACGTGGAAACTTTAGTGCATACAGGAGTAGCCAAGAACGTGGGATTCTCGTCGCCAGCCATTATAACCAGAATCTTCTCCTCATAAACCTTCACCGGCTTGGTTGATTCACTCTCATTTCCACCGCTTTCGACATCCCTTTCGGCGTGACCTCCTTCAGCGTGGTTGTCCAAGCGACCGGAAAGTCGCCAGTAGGAGCAAGCTAAGATCAAGAGAGCAAACGTAATGAGACCCAGCATGGCTGCTAGGCCTCCGAAGAGGTATGGCACGGGTGAGTGCCATGGAGAGCGAGGTTGCGCCTTTTCCGGCGGTGACAATGAAGGCATAGTTGCTGCTTCTGCTGTGTTACCGCTGCTAATAGGCCTCATCTTTAATGTTTCTTTATAGACTTCGATTTGTTGTCAATGGAGAAGGTAGTCGTTTGGTTAAGTAGAGGAGAAGAAGATGAAGAGTGTGAACCTGCAAAGCTGAGAAGGCGACGACTGCTATTTATAAGTGGGGAAACTGAGGGAAATCAAAAATTAAATTAAATTAAATTAAATTAAATTAATTTCTTTATAAAAATAAATCTGCTTTTGATTAGGTTTGGGTCACGGGCTTGGCCCCGTTTATATGTTGTTTTTCACCCACTCTAATAACGATGGTAGGGACCAGGGTGCGCTGTGATGTTGGCTCCGCTGCATCCGGGTAGAGACCCTAATGGACCATGGTGCGTTTGTGGTCGGGCCCGAAGGCTAAGGAGAATTGGATCCACAGTGCTGGTGTGGGTCCCGACGAGCCACCAATGGCGGCTATGTGTCATGGGAGTATAAGCATATTAGGCATTGGCATTTTCCATGGATAAATTTGTATTGGCCATTACGATTTTAAAAACAGTACACTAAGCTGAAAGAAGTTCCTTATAACTAACCTGATTTTAAAGTTGGTAGATGCTGATTCTATTATTTCATTTCAAATCTTTAAAGGTGCCCATTTTCGACTTTTAAACGACAAAAAAAAATCTAATAATTTAATAAAAATAATAATACAACAATTCATCGTTGATTGAATTTACGAAAATATTTATTTTATATATAAATTTAATCAGGTTGTTTAATTTAAATGGAGATGACATATGTTGACACGGCACTTGTATGTATCGTTTTATGATTTATTGAAATTATAAAAAAAACTATATAACTAATGTATATATTCTATTTTGAAAAATGCAAATCTCAATTTCTTCATACTAAACCCCACCAAAATTCACTATTGAAGGTAGATTAACGTTAATCCAAAAGGCATTGATGCTTCATGTGCAACTCAACATGAGTTGACGTAAATAAGATCAAAGTGACGAATCTCATGCTCCTGTTGTTATTATGGAATCAAAAATTAATCGATTTGGACATAATCCGATGATGTTGTTGTTACTTGACATAGAATGGGAAATTGATTCATTGTGCTTGATTGTGAAACAATATTCTTTAACCCCAATATATAATTTTAGTGTGGATCCCTAGCAGCATATTGACTTGTTTGCTGATGACGCTAACCATAATACTCGGGAAGATTGTGATCTGTAAATTGACCTTCCTTTTATCATGCCAAATTGTCAAACTACATCACAAAAAAAATGTTTAGATTACAAAGGTTTAATTAAAAGGAATATTAAATGCAAAACTCTATGTTTAATTAATTAAATACTGATTGAATAAAGATATTATCATTTGAATATATATTATTATAATAATCATCGTAGAATTTAAACAAATGATGATTAATTAAACATCATGTCATCATCGAAAGGCATAGTGTTATAACGTCAGTGCGGTGTCTTGACAATCTATTATTTTTTGCGTTTATAGAGAAAATTGATCGTAGTGGTATTCACTTTGAATACTTAACATTTTTTTTATTAAACTAAGTTGTTATAAAGTAGTATATCTTTTAAATATTCTCAATCATTTAATAATGACCATTGTATCATTCTGCAGCTGTTGATATTCGAACTCGTTACCTCTAGAAACAATAATTATTTCTTTAACCATTGAGATAAGTTGATTCGTGTTTGAAAACTTAATATGATTGGAGAGGAGTGTTGAATTAATCCACTGTGCCAGTTATTACAAGAGGGACGGAGGCACTCGGATCTTTCGTCTATAATTGGGGGGGTCCATACAATATTTTAGGGGCATTAAATCCAAATTGCTGAGATCAACCACAATCCACAATCATTTAATCAAATAATAAAAGGATAAACGATGAGAGCAATAGCTTTGTGGGGAAAGTGGGTGGCAATATTAGGATGCCATGAATGTATTGTGGCTTTCCATTCATTTCGTGATTAACAGCTTTGTCATTTAATCTCATCGTGTCTTCATCTCCATGGTCATCATTTAATCTCATCGTGTCTTCATCTCCATGGTCATCATTTAATCTTATCGTGTCTTCATCTCCATGGTCAAACTCAATTATAGGACTCCAAATGCTAAGTTTCTTGATGGGCAAAAAAGGGTCAGGTGTTTTCTTAAAATTGAAAATTATATATTCACCACACGATATGTCAATGCCAAAGTATGCGTTGGCATGCATGGTTTTAAAAAAAGGTCAATGACATGTGAACAGTTGAGTGCAAAGACCATATTTCCCTTCAAAAGTCAAACAACATTTGGTATGATCAAATGAGGTTTCGGCAAGGGGAAAGTTTGAAACCGAATTATTGAGTCCAACCTACGCATCACCAGGAAGAATAATGAGTCGGCCTGGACATTAAATGAACGAAATTTAGTTGGGTGACTCACAGGAAATAGGTTCACCCGTGAAATCTAGTTGGACCAACTCATCATTCTGAGAGTGATTTTGCATTGACTAGCATTTATTGACATCACAGCCACCACTGAGTTATTCACATTTTACAGGTAAGATATTTGATCAGTCAGCTATATTGCCTTTCAGCTTCAGCTTCAACTACGGTGGTAGTGGTAAATAATTGACAAATTGATGGGGTCGTTGTCCTGATGAAAGTTCCCCAACAACATAAATTATGGTAATGAGCGTCCCCTTCAAATTCCTAGTTGTCATATCCGTACATTAGTTATATTGATCAAGTCTTCCCAATTTTTCCTTTCCTTGCCCTTAGCAAGGCTACGGTGGAACCTGGAAACTATTCTTGCACGCAATAAATATAATACAATTATATTATAAAAATCAAATACAGGAAGCATCCCCATTTATTCATTTCCAGGCCATTATTTGGCAGTATTAAGTCTTTTCCTCTCTCTTCATCATTTGGCATCATTGAACTTTGATTGAAGTATGGATAATAAAACCAATGAACAAATTACTATAATACTGACATCATAAAATGTAAAATATAACTAAATTAAATAGATAGTAGCCTAAATAGATAATTTTACTTTTTTTATTGTAATTTTTTAATCGTTATTTCTTTTTTAATTTTTTTCACTAAATAGATAATATCCTAAATGTTTTGATCAAATTAAATAAAATTCAAATCATAATTAATAGAAATAAAAAAATTCCTATATTTATATTAAACCCTAAGATGTCAACTATAATTTTTTCTGATAAATCTAAAATATATATAAAATAATATCTATTAAAAAAACTCTAAATCGCTATGTCAACCACAACTTGATTTATTGAATATATATAAACCAGCATATGAGAACATAAAAACCAATTCAATAAATTAATGCTCAAAATGAATTTTGTTTGGGAATTATGATTTGAAGTTCAACGTCAATCAAAATCATATAAAAATGTATATTTTTTCTTCTTAATTGTCTTTTATTGGGACATCATTCATCTCTTTTCTTTTTAAATCTTTTTTTAATGATGACGATGTTAATTTTAATATTAATTGTTAAATGTCAACTATCAGTATTTTTTATTGTCATTTATTTTTTTATATCACATCTTTATTTTATTTTTTAATTTTCAATAAGTGTTCTTGTATGACACATTTTCATTTGTCATTATAGTGTTTTTTCTTTTACTTTCTCGTTTGATTGTTGTTTTTATTTATCCTTTTAAGGGTTGATTTAATATCTTCATGACTGATCAAGATGTCACTTATTTGTTATATTGTTGATTTTCTCTGCTTTAGACCTCGAATTGGATTTGGATACTTATTATGTATTTGTGGATATATTTTCACGTCGCTCGAGTTTGATTTGTGATTTGTCAATGGTCTTTCAGTAGTTTGATCTCCTTTTGTGATTCGTTTACCCATTGGATCAGATCTGCTAGGCTCTATCTTTATTTGAGTTTATTGGTTAGATTTTAATATTTTATTGTATAAGTCCCATGTGATTTTAAATTACTAGTTTTGTTTCAATAATTATAGGGAATTATATTAATCGTGTGTTTAATTTACGATTATGCTTATAAATATTTATTGTGATTTAAGATATTTTTTATTTTGAATCAAATTAGTGGTTTCTATAAAAAAAATTAATGCTCAAAATTATACATATTGGAGTTAGTGGGGGGTCTGATCAGAATTAAGTTCCCCCAAATTAAGCAAATGTAAATCTAGTTATGGTAAAATGCCATATTAAACTTGGCATGATAACACTAGATAGAAGGATCTATTAAGCAAAAAATAGGGAACTGATCAGGTGGAAGATGAGTCACGATGGGACCCAAGAAATAGTAGAGGATAAAGAGGATGTTGGAGATGTTGGCGTTAGGGATTAAAAAAAAATCTGATCTATTGAATTTTTGTCTAGATTTGATTTAATAGATTGACCATTTTAATTATTTTTTCAATTTTTTTGAAGTTAGGGTTGATTTTAACAATAATTTATTTTTGATTCATTATAAAATATTAACAAAGTATTATTATTATACATAAAATATTTAATATATTTACTAAAATATTAATTTTTTATTTTAGCATTCGTACTTTTAGTTACGAATATATATGCTTTTCAAGATGAAAATGTGTTCACTCTAAAATCTAATTTTTTTGTTAGTTGTTATTTTCACTTATGATGTTCATTTTAAAATTTTGTTTGAAATCAGTTGAAGTCAAATTAATTTAAAAGCACATTAAATCGAGTTAGAAAACAAAATCCAACTCATTTTCTGCCCTAACACAGTCCCTAATTGAAATACAATCACAACAGCATAAAACAAGTTAAATAAATAAATAAAGTTAGTTCACCTTAATTTAATAAAAAAATTGTTATAGAATCAGTAAAGTTAATTAGGAAAACTTGTTGTAGTTTAGTTCTTTGTACAATGTTATAAATCAACAAATATAAGATATATGTATTCATTCTTTTTATTATAAATTAGATATTACAAACAAAAGTGCATTATTCAATTTCTTTTAATTGTGATTATCTATTTTTTTATAAGGTGCACTCATAGATGGATCGAAGGAACTGATGGGATAATTGTATCTCTCAAAATTTAAAATTATTGTATATTTTAGATTTTTTATATATTTTTGATTAAA